CCAAGATGTTTGCTGATGACCTTAAGATTTACAATCCAATCATGTCTTCCAACCAATCCCAGCTGCAAGGCAATAGATGTCATAGCGCATTGGTCCAACATGAACATGCTTCCACTATCTGCTGCAAAACGAAAGTGCTTCATTTAGGTGAATCCAATCCTAGCATTCAATACTTACATTCATAATGACGCTATTGAAGCGGTTGATTCCGTTAAGGATTTGGGTTTTCTAGTCAACAACAAGTTGGACTTCGGAGATCATGTTAATAACATAGTAGCTAAAGCTGAGCAGAGAGTTTTCCTATTGTTTAAGTCGCTCCTGTCAAAAATCCGCTTCTACTTATAAAGGCTTACAAAACATATGTGCGCTCAGTACTTGAATATGGCACCTGCATATACTTTCCTCATAAGAAGATGCTGATTGACAAACTTGAAAGGGTGCAGAACAGCTTTACTAGAAAGCTTTTCCTCAGAGCCCTTGGTTTTACTTACAAAAGTATACCTCGGGGTGTAGTAAGGAATAAAATGATTAGCTTAGACCCATTACGTGTGAGGCTTAGGCGAAACGACATTCTTATGGTTTACAACATCCTTAACAGGCGTATTGATCTTAGCCGTCAGTCTTTTATAGTCTCGCACCTTCTAGGACCAGAGGCTGGAAATCCAGGCTTGTTTTTCGGCAACCGCGTACTCTGTTAGGGCGCAATTTTTCACTTTTCGTGCGGGCATGGAGTTTCTAAAAATGAGCAGAGCTATACCGATATCGGATTCTCTTTCACTATTTCGAAAATCGGTTTTTCGATATCTGCACTGTGTGAAATAGGGTATTGCTTTAGTCTTACTTTTCTTTTTTTTCTTTTTACGTGTTGTCCTTTAATAGTGTTTGTTACTTGGTAATAATTTATTCTGCAGTTTTTCTTTTCGCAACTACATGTCACAGAGCATTTAATAAATCTGAACTTTGGAATCAGTGGCGGCGTACGTTCATTCTGTCACAGTGGTAATTGTGCGACATTGTGGCCTGCAAATGCAAGGTGGGTGAGTGATAGCTAGTGTGATAAAAAGAGTATAATGCACACGTCACGCACACGTGATGACGAAATACCAACATCCATGCAAACGAAATACGGAAGGATCAAACAAACAAAAAAGTCGGGGTTAACAAAAACATATGCATCAACCTAATAAGACGCGCAAAGTTCGGTCTGAGCGAATAGCGTCGTTTTAAACCAAGCGTTCCTCCGCTATTAATTTTAGATAAAACTGACTTAAAGGAGAACTCGCGATTACTCGCACATGGAATTGGGGTTCTTGTATACGACGACAAGGGGTTTTGAGTACCTCGACTACTGCGAACAAAAAAGCACAAAAAACATGCCACCTGCCCCAGATAGAACCCCATTTCGATCCCAGTTTATACGTGCTCAATCAACTCTATCTCCAAAACTGCGCCCTCATACTGCGTGATTACAATAAGATTATGTAGATCGTACAAGTGGCGATCTATCATCGATATTCGTCCTGCGTGATCTCATTTTGCCACTGGAAAGTCGTGCATTATTCGGGAGTCTGTGAGGCGGGAGTTCAACTGGGAACAGGAGGAGCCACTGAACCTATATCGCATACAGCGCCTCCTCCAGTAGATTTTTGCCGCGCAAACCGGTACAAGGTTTGTTCGTCGGGAGCAACTCGTAAACTAAATATGACTCGAAATAAATGACCGGAAAGGATAAAAATTCGCCGTGATCAATTCCCCTTGATGAGCATGCGGCGCGTATTTTACTTCATTAAGAATCGTAGTGGTTTATTGAATGCGATGTGGCCTATACAATGATTTGAGGGGAAAGCGATGTGCAGTCGGTGTTCTCATCTTCTCAGACGAGCCTGGTACCAATTTGTCATCTTCGGAGCGTGAAAGGGATGGTTTCCCTGGGTGGGAGCCGATCAATTATTTGATGCCCGGACCGTGCGCGTGCTAAGCATTGCCCTTCGCTACAACACCACCTTCGCCTCCGGTAAGGAGAGAGATTGAGAAGTAATAGTTATATGAACAGCACTTGTTTATAAATACAGTACATTCACAGCCACCTTGGGAACAACATAAATTTGACTACCATTCAGATCAGCGATTTTGGGCTGTCACTATCGCTGGATGGAGGGGCGCAACTCCCAGCCAGCGGCCGTCTGCCAATAAAGTGGTTGGCAATCGAATGCTTACAACGAGAGCTGTTTTCGGTGAAAAGTGACGTGTAGGTTTTTCGAACATTCATAAAACCATTAATAAAATTTCGGCAACATTTGAGGGATTTGGATAACATTTCATTGGCATCCATAAGAACTTCTCACGGGATTTTTGAGTCACTCTTTTGGAAGTCAAGACGTTCACGCGTTCAGCATCTTCGAGAAAAATATGGGTGTAACTGAGTGGTAGCTTTTGGACGTGGTGCTTATGTATTTTCGCTTTGAAAAAACACTTTAGTGGTCTAGATCCACTTTGCGATGAGGCGCACCGACATGGAGGTCTTCTTCCTTGATAGTTGACTCGGCACACTGCCGCACCTCCTCGCTATATAACTAATGTGGTGGTTAAAATGCCGCGCACGTGAAGCCATTTGCAAGACCCTCACCGCTCTCGACGTAATGTGGATCTCTTTAAGAACATCGCAAATACCGAACTGGTGTGCATTTTCTTACATCGCAATGCGATCGCACATGCCACCCGTTGCCTGGGTAGCGCAGCTCGATGAAGACATGACTGATAGCTGTTTTTCCTCAGTCACTGTTGCTGAATCCTGCGGCGACAGCTCCAATAATCCTTTAAAAGTGGTGCTGGTTCTATTTATCAGGCGAAATTGTTTCAGATGGTCCTACGGTATTGTTCTTTTCGAGATGTACTCAATGGGTGAGCGTCCATTCGAAGATATCGAGCCGTTAAATCTTATCCCTCATCTGGAAGCCGGTAATCGACCAAAAAGGCCATTGTTGGCGAGTGACAAAGTGTACGTAGATTTAATGCACTTTCGTTACTTCTTTTACCGTAACATGATATCTCGCTAGTAGGATAGCAGGCGGAAGTGACCGTTTGGAATGAGATGTATCGTCTAATATTTCCTTGGGCGATGCTCACAAATCAGTCTTTCATATATCCAGCGCACCTTCTGAACGACGTTGCGGTGATTTTTAGTGGGACGAGCATGCTCACTCGCCCAGCGTTGTGACTTGAAGTATCCTGTAACAGCAGCGCCAAGTGGTTTTGTGCTAACGCATGCGACATCCCTGCTCAGAGGCTCAAACTATCTCTGCATACAATTTTCCAGACAAATCAAAGCTTTGCCTGAACTTCGTAGATCGGGGCATTTAATGGCAAATAGCTCCGATACGGATGACGGTTTCGAGAACAGCACCCAAAGAAATACGAGGCAGTATACGTCTCACTTCGAACCTACCATCCTTTCGTCATTAATGGCAGATGTGGTCGTCGCCACTGAAAACTGTGATCTCCAAGTGTATTTTCAGCGCAGAGGTCATGGCGAGGTGTTGGGACAAAGTGCCTAGTAAAAGGCCATCTTTCGAAGAGCTTCTTAACATATTCACTGGGTTGCTGGAACAGGTAAGGCTTTTCAGTACGACGGGAATGAAGTTCATACAGGTACAGGTGACCTTGGGGCAGAGAACTCTCGGATAAGCATTGTATTTCTCTATGAGTGATGCTAGGATGAGGCTTAAACTTCGTTATTCTAGTCTACTGAAGGATATGGATACTTGGCACTCATCAAGACAGCCGAAACATACATGGCGGTTGCGGAGCTGACTTCTACACATGGGGTTCGTTGTGTTTTACATACAAAGTAGCTATGAGATCTAGCTTCTTAGCCTCGAGTGTGAGGTGCGGGTTCGACTCCCGCCTGGGTACGACTTTTGCCCATAACTCAGCATTCTTGTGATAAGGCAGCGTTTATAATCACGTTCAACAGGAGAAACTCAAAGACATCCTGTACAGTCGTCATCCGGGGACTTGATTAGGGCGGCAAGGGTTGCGACGCGGCTGCGGCGTGTCACGAGCGCGGCGATCAGCTGTTTCCAGCCTATTTCAGCCATTTTCTCCCTAATTTACACTGTTTGGCTGCTTTTCTCCTATTAGTTTATTCGCGGAATATTTTTATTTGATGCAAATGTTATCCTATCCTCCTGGACAAAGTCATGGCTGCAGCTGTTTCGCAACTGCAGAATCCCTCCTGAAGCGCAGCCGCCGCCGCGTTTCAGTGAAGTAAGTAGCCGCGGACTCTATGCCTGCAACATCAATACAATTTATCTCGTCGCAGTGAGCCGGTTTCAGGAGTGGTGGAATGAGCCCACCGCCCCTGCTGACATTGCCCCGACTAATTGCTGCGTTACCAGCTATATTTTCCATGGGCGAAATGGCCAGATCTGTGCCTATAGGGGTACTTGGACGAGCTTAATCGGTTGGAAGTGCGTGACAGTTAAATTGAGATTTCGCAATAGAAGGATGTCATTTTATGCCTGCACTCGTAAGCGGACGATTCCACAGAAACGCCACACGCCTCACGACCATCGCCTAGCAATATGTAC